CATTGAACCAACCACAATTCGCGGTGCGCGGTCGCGACGCGCATTTCGGCGAGCGGAGCGGCGCGCGGCGCGGCTCGACGCGGCGCGCGGCGCGGGACGGCATGCCGCTCTCCGAAGATTCGCGAGTTTGCGCGGTCGGTCGCCCACGCGGAACGGCGCGGCACGACGGGGAGAGCGGCGCGGCGGGGCGGCGAGGCGCGCCACGGCGCGGCGCGGCCCGCGGACTGGCGAGTTGGCACCGTCGCCAACGCGTCGGGCGACGCTCGACGTGGCAGGGAGCGACGCGCGGCGCAGCACGGCGCGCCGCGGTGCACGGCGCGGCGTGGCGCGGCCAGCGCGCAGTGGGGCGCCGGCAGGCCCGCGGATTCGCAAGCTGGTCGGACGCGGCCCCCCACAAGAGGTGCGCCGCGGAACCCCTCGGGCAATCGCATCTCGAGGCATCAGACAGCAAGCGCAGCAAAGCGCGTTTGGAAACATCTCATCATCAGGCGGCAACGCGCCGCGCCGCCGGACTTACCACTTTCTTTTACGGAGATACGGACATGCTCACGCGCCGCCCTCTGCAACCCCAACAATTTGCCACCGCGTGTGCGCGCGCGGCCAGCTCCTGGAAGCGCGCCTCCAGGCGTGCAGCCGCCTCCTCCGCGACGGCGGCGGCCTCGGGGCCCGTCAGGAACTCGCCGCCACCCTGCTGGCCCGCCGCCTCTGGCGCCGGGGGCGGCGGCAGCTGCGCGCCCACGCAGAGGGCGTCCAGGCGGCGCCGGTAGAACTCCGCGAAGCGGCTGGTGTACCTCTCTTCTGAGAGGCACCAGGACATACTGAGACGTACTGTGTGCCTCTGTGTTGAGACGCGCGTCCGACCCGAACATAGAGTACAACCATATTGAAATGTATCGTCTCCCGAGCGGTATGCACAGCCGGGAAGCGCCCGCCACGGAGCTCGTACTAGAAGATGTCCGAGCATGCGCGGCGCCCTGGCATGGCCGACGCACGCATGGTATACAAATACGTGTGTTTGGGTGGTGCCGATCTTCGCCGGCTTAGAACTAGGGCCCCGAGGGATGAGGTCCTGAGGGTGTCGCGAGCAGCGAGCAGATCCACACCCACGCCCTCGCGGTCTGGCTTCCAGGGCGCGACTCCCGTGGATACGCAGTCGCGTGGATACCTTCCGCGCGGGGCATCCTCGAAAGAACGGCCCTGTCCATGGGGTCGTGGCCCAGCGGTGCGGCCCGCGAGGCCGTAGACATGGATATGATTCCTGCCCACGGAGATACAGTGGAGTCCACGAGAAACCTTCCACAAGAGACCCAACCCTGAGACCCCAGGACGTCTATGGATTTTTGGTGTGGGCACGTCACGCTTTCCATGGCAAAACCATCAAAACCCAAGAAACCCAGGGCACCCTGGAGGCAAGCAGGGTGTTTGTTTCTTGGCATGGACCCCCACTGTAGGAAGGGATCCCAGAAAGGGACCCCTGTAGATGTCAAAGAAGAAAGACGGCGTAAGCGTAACCGTTCGGAGATCCGCGCGTAAATCTCCTGGCGGCGATGGACCCCCCTCCCTGGCGCGCGGAGCGCGCCAGTGGCGGCGCTGGAGGCGCCGCCAGCGGGATCCAGCGCAGATCCCCCGAAAGCGCATGTTTCTGCAATCTTTCCATCTTCGAGGGATCCCTGGCTGAATTTGCACTGCTTCAGCGGGTCCCGAAACGGTTCGGCGGCAGGCCCTACGGTGACCTCGAATTTCCCAACAACCTCATCGTGCGGTCCGTCACCGCACCGCTTCGGGACCCTGGAAGCCCCAGTCGCCCGAGACATCCTCGGAGAACGGCCCGAGTCTCAAAACCGCGCGGTCATTCCAAGTCCCCTCTGACTCACCACACGGTGTGGCCAGCAAGACGTGTGGGACCCCCCAAAAACCACCGAGTTTGGACGCCCGAAATGGGTACAGAACATGTGGGTACTTCGCCCAACAGGAAACAAGTTGTCCCATACCGACAGCGGCCTCTGTTGGAGAGGCGGCCTTCTGCCGCAAATGGGTAACGTCCACGGCGACACAGACAGCGAACCCGGTTCAACATAAACGGAAACGGCGGTCGGTCTGCGTACAGTTGGGCTGCTGAATAAAGGAACGAGACATAAGGAACAAAGCCTATGTTTTCCAAATCGAGCCGTATAATCCGAAGGAACGACCGAGCCCCGTTCTGGCACCCTGACCGACAAGACGAGCCCGCGCGTGCTGAAACTGGAGGAACACCGAGGGGGGCTCGCCACCAAAACAGAATCAAAATTATCCTGGCGAAGGACCCAACCATGTGCAGTTGTGAGTATCGCAATTGTGAGTATCTTCTTCGGCGGCGCTCCCTATGGGGCCACGAACCGCATGAGGGGTGCGCCGAAATGTGGCGGGGTACACAACGCAAAGGAATACGATAGATCTGATTACGAGAGAAAGAACGCGGGTGAGTCAGAGCGCGAGGGAATCTGAATATGAATGGGTTTGCGCGTGAGTGAATATACTTGCATGAATGCGATCATGGAACCGCCTAGTGTAAGTGTCGAGCGTGCCTGTCCGAACACACGTGACACTGGGCGTGGCCGCCGCAGGCAGCTTCCGCGGGAACCCCGACGGCAGCGTCCGCACGTCGCGACGCCCATGTCGGCACGCCTCTTGCGAGGATCGCGCCCGCTTTCGGCTCTTCTTTTCCTTCCTCTTTGCCCGCGCACTCCAAAATCCAAGGCTGCGGGCGCAGCGCAGCGCGGAGTCCCCGCGACGCGCGCTGGTCGCCCCGGGCGGGGTCCCAGCGACGCGCGCGGGTCGTCCGCTGCGCGAAGCAGAGAGAGCTGACTAGCTAACTGGCTGGCTGATAGCGGGCAAGTCTCTGACCGCTGGGCAGAGCGACGACGGGCGAACGAGGCGCCGGGCCCCCCGCAGCACGGAGTTCCCGCGACGCGCGCTGGTCGCCCCGAGAGGGTCCCAGCGACGCGCGCGGGTCGTCCGCGGCGCGAGGCCAAACAATTAGTCGGGCAGTCGAGAGAAGGCGCGGCTCGGGGGAGACGCTCCTCAGGTCAGGCCTCGCGGATGAACTCGGTGAAGCCGAGCTCCCTGGCGAGGGCCGTCGCTTCCCTCCTGCACCGCTTCGTGCGCGCCGCAAACTGCTCCAGCTGCTTCCGCAAGCCCTGCGGCGGCCCTGCCAGGAAGAACTCGATGCGCGGCGCCCGCATGAGCAGGAGGTCCTCGTGGCGCGTGGCGCGCGAGAGCAGCACGTAGAGCTCCAGCCACCAGTCGTCGTCCTCCTTCTTGCCGTTCCCTACCTCGTGGCGGCCGCAATCCAGGATCACGCCTGGGCGACGTCGACCGAGGGAGCAGCGCGCCGGGCAGCCGACGGCCCAGGGCGAGAGTCCACAGGACCGAGAGATGGTCTGGCCGCGGACTGCTCGCGCCCCGGAGGTCTGGCCGCCCCCGGAGCGCCGTTCCCCCGCCCCGTCGCCTTCGCGCATGGTGCGCCCCTGGCACGCCACCGTGGTGATGACCCTGCCGTGCGAGAAATGCGGGGGGGGGCCGAAATGGGTGGGGGTGACGCATGCGGGCGGCGGCCGGCACTGAGGCCTTCGGTGGAGCTCCCTATGGAGCCACGAAACGTGTGAGGGGTGTGCCGAAATGGGTGTGGGGGACGCATGCGGCCGCGGGCACTGGGGCCTTCGGTGGAGCTCCCTATGGAGCCACGAAACGTGTGAGGGGTGTGCCGAAATGGGTGTGGGGGACGCATGCGGCCGCGGGCACTGGGGCCTTCGGTGGAGCTCCCTATGGAGCCACGAAACGTGTGAGGGGTGTGCCGAAATGGGTGTGGGGGACGCATGCGGCCGCGGGCACTGGGGCCTTCGGTGGAGCTCCCTATGGAGCCACGAAACGTGTGAGGGGTGTGCCGAAATGGGTGTGGGGACGCATGCGGCCGCGGGCACTGGGGCCTTCGGTGGAGCTCCCTATGGAGCCACGAAACGTGTGAGGGGTGTGCCGAAATGGGTGTGGGGACGCATGCGGCGCGGGCACTGGGGCCTTCGGTGGAGCTCCCTATGGAGCCACGAAACGTGTGAGGGGTGTGCCGAAATGGGTGTGGGTGACGCATGCGGCCGCGGGCACTGGGGCCTTCGGTGGAGCTCCCTATGGAGCCACGAAACGTGTGAGGGGTGTGCCGAAATGGGTGTGGGGGACGCATGCGGCCGCGGGCACTGGGGCCTTCGGTGGAGCTCCCTATGGAGCCACGAAACGTGTGAGGGGTGTGCCGAAATGGGTGTGGGGGACGCATGCGGCCGCGGGCACTGGGGCCTTCGGTGGAGCTCCCTATGGAGCCACGAAACGTGTGAGGGGTGTGCCGAAATGGGTGTGGGGGACGCATGCGGCCGCGGGCACTGGGGCCTTCGGTGGAGCTCCCTATGGAGCCACGAAACGTGTGAGGGGTGTGCCGAAATGGGTGTGGGGGACGCATGCGGCCGCGGGCACTGGGGCCTTCGGTGGAGCTCCCTATGGAGCCACGAAACGTGTGAGGGGTGTGCCGAAATGGGTGTGGGGGACGCATGCGGCCGCGGGCACTGGGGCCTTCGGTGGAGCTCCCTATGGAGCCACGAAACGTGTGAGGGGTGTGCCGAAATGGGTGTGGGGACGCATGCGGCGCGGGCACTGGGGCCTTCGGTGGAGCTCCCTATGGAGCCACGAAACGTGTGAGGGGTGTGCCGAAATGGGTGTTGATGATGATGATGATGATGATGATGATGATGATTGTGGATGATGATGATGATGATGATGATGATGATGATGATGATGATGATGATGATGATGATGATGATGATGATTGATGATGCTGATGATGATGATGATGATGATGATGATGATGATGATGATGATGATGATGATGATGATGATGATGATGATGATGATGATGATGATGATGATGATGATGATGATGATGATGATGATGATGATGATGATGATGATGATGATGATGATGATGATGATGATGATGATGATGATGATGATGATGATGATGATGATGATGATGATGATGATGATGATGATGATGATGATGATGATGATGATGATGATGATGATGATGATGATGATGATGATGATGATGATGAGGGGGGAGGAGGCAGCGGGAGGAAGGAAGGAAGGAAGGAAGGAGAACGCGGGGCACCGTCTCTTCAAAACGAGGACCCAACACCACAGGATGGTTGGGAAAAAGTAGGCATGCAAACCCGAGGAGCCTCCGAGACCCTCCCAACCTCGAACAGGACCTTTGAAGGGGAACTGGAACACACAAATAAATACACACAAATAAAAATATCCCCCTATTTTCCCATATTTTCTTGGTTTTTGTCTTCCCCACCACTTCCCATATTTTTGCATATTTTCCTGGGAGTCGACGATTAATTGTGTCTGTGTGTTTCTTTCCCTCCTGAACCTTATTTCAACGAACTGACTGTACCCGTTCGTTCCGTACCCATTCCGATCGTACGGACCGCGGCCTCTGGCCCGCGGGCGCGCCAGCGAGCCCCGGCGCGTGCCGCTGCATGCAGTCGCGCAGCGCCGCGGCGCCGCCGAGCCGCAAGTACTCGAGGTCCCGCTGGGGCCAGCCCAGGCCGTCGCAGAGCCGCCGCACCTAACCAGCCTCGATCTGATCCCTGTCCCAAAATGATGGGCCTGTTTTCCACCACCACCACCACCACCATAAGTTGGAGGGGGAGGGGGTCCTCCTCCTCCTCCTTCTCCTCCTCCTCCTCGTCCTCCTCCTCCTCCT